CTCTCCTCTCCTCTCCTCTCCTCTCCTCTCCTCTCCTCTCCTCGCTTCTCTTCTCTTCTCCTCCCACTTCTCAACACACATTTACATACATCTCACATCCACTATTGGTCTTTATGGAGAACTTGCATAAACTCCTCTATAGAAAGCTTTATATAATCTTATCTTGATGGTGCCATCAAATATACTCTGTTTCCCCATCAATTTTTGTATCATCTAAAAGTCTGAAAATTTTGAGTGGCATGTTTCATGTCTCTTGAGATTTTTTTTACAGTCACTAGAATATTTGCTACAAAAAACTGTGAAGAAGAAAAGGAAGATCTTGAATTTTCTATGAGAAAGAATTTATATGTAATGATATCCAATTTTGGCCAAATTGGAGTTATTTTATTGATCAGAGACAGAGAACTCATCAACCTCTTCTGTCTGTTGCTCATGGTTTAAAAGTGAACATCTCAACACATTTTTTTTGTTTAGATGTGAAGAGTTGAACATATTCTCACAAGTCTAGGAACGATGCATTTCTTCCTTTTTATGTTTTGTACTAAAACAAAATTACAGCATTTATCATTCCACCCACTTGAATTATTATAAAATTGATGCTGACAGAAATTTTTCTTCATAGAGAATTTTACCATTCATTGCTGATTGTGCTTAGGCCAAGGAGCACTGAAACATCACCCAAAACATTCAGCTTCCTTTGACATAAAAGGCATCTATCAAAAGTTTGAACATCTGTGTACAGTAAGTATTATGGCTATAGTTGACTATAACTCGCCTTTAAAACATGACCTTATGATGACTATGGATTGTGACATTCCTTGAGGATTTTAACTATCTGTGAGGGTCTGAGGTTCTTCCTTAAGCTACTATAAACACTGAACACCTTTGGGAAACAAATTACACAGATCTAATGTAAAAACCATCATAATAATTTATCTAACCCAGAACTATGAATATTACTTAGTTATACATTCTTTAGTGTAATAAGATACAGTAAAACATCTTGGCTTTAAGTTTCTAATTTTATTAGAATTATAGATCCTTGTATCTTTATCTTGTAACTTTAAAAAATTATAGAAGAGCATGGTTTAAACAAAAGAAAAAGTTTATTATCTGCTAGAAAACCATTAACAATGTGCTAGATGTTCATTGAGGGTCTATTATGGCAACATAAATCATTGTATGGATTAATATTTATATATTGACAATAACTCTGTAAGTAAGTGCTTTGATCACAATTTTGTATTTCAGGGCTGGCAAACTGTAGTTTATGGAATAAATATTGCCCTTATATACCCATAATTTTATGGCCATTGAATTTATAATACCTTTATATGTTTGTAAAAATAAAAAGTAATAATATAACATATAACATTTAAATTATTATAAATTTTTATTGGAGCACAGCTGTATTCACTAATTTATATGCTGTTCACTGTGATTTTCATGATACTGTGACACAGCTGAGTAGTTACAACGTAGAGACAACGTTTGATGTAAAGTTTTAAAAGCCTTATTATGTGACCCTTTGTAGAAGAGTTTGGTTATGAAAGTAAGGCTACATTTTCATATTTTAAAAAGAAACATTAAGTTAACTAAAGCAATAATTTCAATAACTATTTATCCATGACCCCCAGTAATCTTATGAATTATTGACTATAAATAGGTGCATGTAGAAACAAGTTGCACATAAGAGAAAAATGTTTTTTTTAACTTTTAAGTCAGTATTTACAATGACTTTTGTGTGTACAAAGCAAAGAGAAAATAGTGTATATTGACAGAAATAGAAATGGCTAGAGACTATGAGACATTTAACAGGAATTGGATGGACTGATAGAAGTTCCTAGAATGCACAAGAAATCACTAACATTTCATGTTTATATGCTCTATGCCATAGGAAACTTCTCCCAGAATTGTTGTATTTTCTCATTGCTGAGACTCTGTGATTGAACCCCTTTCTGGAAAAGACATTTGATAGGGATCATAAAGGGAGGATGAGGAATGAACGACTCCTGTGTTGGTGAAATAGCATCTGGAACTAAATAAGATAATGCATGTGAAATGCTTAGCAGAAACCCTAGCAGAAAGTCAATAAGCAATAACCATCATCCTGGTTGTCAGAGAGCCATGTTTAGAATATCTATAATTCACCAGAGACACCTCAGATGTCCAGACAAGTTGTAGACAGTCTTTTAGACCATCAATATATTGTATTGTATTGATGATGAAGATTCAATATTATTCTGGATTGGAGAATACAGTTATTTTCTTGGAAAATACCTATAAAAATAGCTTCCCACTTTCAAAGACTAACAAACAACTAGAATGTAGATGTGAATCCATTTTCTCCTACACATGTTCTCTAGAGCAACAATAGTGGAAAGGGTATTGTTCCTCTTAGACTCAGTTGCTGTAGTGATGATAAAACAAGGATGATTATAGGTAAAGTGGGTGTGGCCAGGGCTGCCTTCTTTCTGTCACACTATTTTATTATATAGTAGCATATTGTTAGGGCAGATTCTGCATGTTAGGAAGAGTGAATCTGACTTACCCTTCTTGTAGTTTCCTTTTAAAGGCCTTTCTTCCTTCCTTCCTTCCTTCCTTCCTTCCTTCCTTCCTTCCTTCCTTCCTTCCTTC